TTTTTTTATAGAAAAGTTTGCAATGCCAACGGTTCCTTCATCTACACCTGCACCACTACCAACAAAACAAGGTATTGTAAAATCTTCTTTATTATAGTTGTCGTACCTACTGAGCTTCTTGAGAACGATCTTTCTTTGTGACATATTTTCAACATATTCAAGTTATTAATGTTATTCGTTTTTTTTATAGAAAAGTTTGCAATGCCAACGGTTCCTTCATCCACACCTGCACCACTGCCAACAAAACAAGGTATTAGAAAATCTTCTTTCTTATAGTTGTTGTACCTGTCGGGTTTCTTGAGTGAGGACTATCTTTCCTTCGTTTACAGTAAATGCGATAGAAACACCAACGAGCTCTATAGCAACGACTCCAGAAAAATCTGATGTTAAACAGAATGAAAATGGTAAGTGATTTTGGGTGGATGGATGGATGGATGGATGGATGGATGGATGGATGGATGGATGGATGGATGGATGGATGGATGGATGGATGGATGGATGGATGGATTGGAATTGGAATTGGAATTGGAAAAATTTATTTACCCACGGTAATTAAAGTTTTCCAATTCCAATGCATGGATGGATGAATAGATGGATGGATGGATGGGTCGGTAGGTGGGTGGATGGGTGGATGGATGGATGGATAAATTGATGGGTGGTTGGGTGGATGGATTGATGGATGGATATGGATGGATAGATGCATGGATGCATGGATGAATGCATGCATGGATGCATGCATGCATGGATGTATGGATGGATGCAAGGATGCATGAACGCATGATTAGTGGAAATATAGAAGCATTTTCAGGCTGGCTACGAATCTTTTCTTATGGCAATTCATGAAAACTTTCTAAAAAATATTTTATCATTTTGTAGAAAAGCTATCCATGCCTACCACACCTTCCCTACCTTCCTCTACACCAGCCCCTCTTCCTACTGAACAAGGTACTTAGCATCATTCTGATTGGTCCATTACGTTGCCATGGATACTATTTTTGGGGAAATTTAATCGCGTTATTTTTCTAATTTAATGTAGTCTCACCTAAGACTGAGAGTAATTTAGCAAGTCCAACCAGTCCTCCTGCCTTGGTGCCTACAAAATCAGATGCAGAGAAACCAGATAGTGAGTGGACTTCCAAATTCTTTTAATAAAAGAATCAATAGAAAAATGTTCTCCCCTTTCAAACCAAGTGTCATTCTCTAGAGTATCATTTCTTTGTTTGAAGTTGTCGCATGCGAAGCCACATGAGTAAGGAATTAACTTCAAGCAAAGAATCTCATTTTCAAGGGATTGACACGTGGTCGGCTGCAAGAAAGCGGGAAGCATTACGCTGGAGTTCTGCTGTGGAGTTTTGGTAACAATATAAAATACATACGTAAGTTTTGCTTTTCTTATCACAGCTTCTAGTAAGTCCAAACCTTCTGTTAAAGCATCACCAACAAAATCTGTCGCTCCTAAAGCAGGTATGTTATTGTTAATTTAAACCGTACTAAATTTCCCCAGGAGAGTAGGGGGGAGACAGAGATAGGTACTTGGATCTAGGGTGCCCCTCCCTGTAACCCACCTCTCCTGTTACGTGCCAACGATGTCTCGCCGATAGAGGCTTTCACCATCATGTGAAGGAAGCCATGTAAGATGGTAGAAAAATATACAATGGTTTTACATGAGGAAGAATTTAATTCCTGAACGCAACGGGATTTTATTGTTCTGCCATCTAAGCACAGGCAGTCCAAGCTGTATTATGGGCGTGGGCACGTGATAGTGCAAAACCTCTATATGAACAATATCAAGCTACGTGAAGACTCACTTATGACGATATTCCGAGGGAGTGGTACTATTTTTGGCCCTCTTTACGACTAGACCTAATGTCCCACCACTGAAAACCCACCCCAGTTGAGGTTAATTAGATAGGTTAGAATGTTAAGTTGGCAAAATATATTGTTAATACATGCAGCTTAAATGTTTTTCAGCCCCAACATCGTCATCACTTATTTCCGCTAAGAAGGAACCTACAATGCCCGCAAAAGGTACGAAACAAACAAACAAACAAAAAACAAGAACGATACGGAGTACAAACACCATATCTTTCAAACAGTACTATATCAAGAGCACTATTTAGTTCTATTAAAACATCAATGAACAAACAATTGGTAACAATAGACATTGCACTATTTTTTGTAGCATTTTGTGAAAAATAAATTTAGTACTGATTCAGTGTTTGCACTCTATTTGAATAAAAGTTTCGTACAATTACTTACAAGTATAAGTACCTTCGTATAAGTACTTGGACAATCACCTTCGGTAGGACGTTTGCATGATGGCGTCATTTGACTTCCACTACCAAGATGCTTCGCGAATTTTCTTTCTTATTTAAATTTGTATTCCCTCATGAGAATAGTAAGACAATGGGTGCTAATTAACTGAACAAAAGAAAGAGTGCAAGGGAGTCTGGTAGTAAAGGACAATGACGCCATCGTGCAAACGTTTTGTTGGATGTGCTGCACTTTATTTATATCTCGCAAAGAACGCGTGAGAGACGGGTTTTAATTATGAAATCGAGGCCAAGTTGTCAAAAAAAAATAAGCGATTTGCTTACTTTATGCTCTGAACATACAAAATAATCATTACAGAACATAGAACAACACTATCCGTTTAAATGTAATGACTATTGGATAAGGACACCTGGCCTCGTTTTGATGTTCATCAGCACCAGTCTCTCACCCATCTTACAGAGATACTAATATGGTTTATAGGTACGTTCAGTTTGGTCAGTTTTTTACCTGTTAGTTTATACGCAATGTTTTTATTACGCATGCGTAGCTAGGAGAAGATTTGAAATGGAAATGAATCTGAGCCCGCGGTTCACTTGCCAAGCTCTCCAACGAATACCTCCACGTGACCTGAGTCTGTTTCTCACTTAGGTGCGAGTACCAAGCCCAACAAGATTGACTTAGCCTTCGTTATTCAAGGAATTGGCAAAATGAACAAAGTGGACTGGATGAGAACGATGATGTTCGTGGCAGCCATCGTTAAATCTTTGCCGATACACAAGAAAGGCACACGCGTTGGAATCAACATGGAATCTTCACGTTTCCATGTTCTTGTGCCATTTTTTCGATACACAAAGAAACCAATTCTCATGGCTCTGACAAAACTGATAGGAAGTCCTAGAATGCCACTCCAACCAAAAGGATTCGGTTTTCTAGGGAAATCGATACGCGATACACACCACCTACTTGTAAAAGCCGGCGGAAGAACAGGCGTTCCGCAAGTAGTGATTATAATCAGTGAGAAAAAATCTCCTGATCAGGTCCAGTTACCTGCAAGGAAACTGAAGTCGGAAGGCGTGGAGGTATTCGCTGTGGGACTGGGCCAGTGGTTTTCTCCTTCACAGTTACTAGGAATGGCAAGTCGGCCACTCAAACATCACGTGGTTTACGGAGACTTTGAGGAATGGGATAAAATGGCGCGAAAAGTTATTCTTGGCATTTTTAGAAAGTACTTTGATAAAAAGCACATGAACCCACAGATAAGAAAAGAGATATATGGATTTTAAGTCCACAAGACTTATTTTAATATTATATTACCAAATATGGTCGAGAACTCGTCAGAAAGCCACGAAAATGAACCAATCAGATCAGGCATTCAAATGATCAAAATCAATCAAAACAGCGCCAACCAATCAGATGCCTATGAATCAACTAATCCCAACTCAAGTTGATCTCGCAATTTTTTTTCTTTTCAAAACTATGAAAGAAAAATGAAAAGCAATAACATGCGCATGCTCAGTGTAATGTTGTCAGAAGGCCAACTCCAAATTTATTGCTTACAATGCCCTCCAGTTCCAAAAATTATCCATATCCCCCTTACGGAGGAATTTTTTTAAGACATCCCCCTACCCYCCGGAAATTCCAATTTTCTTCCGTACAAACTCTGTAATTTTTGTTCTTTCTCTGACCCCCCTACCCTTCAGAAATTCCAAATTCCTCTGTGGGGTGGGTATGGATGATTTCTGGAACTACACAATGAATAAAAATAAAGAACTTGATCTTTAAAAGTGTTTTTAGTTTCTGTACTTCAAAGAGCTGCAGTTTTGCACCATTTTCTAAATAAACATATATATATATATAATATATAATGATATGATCATTATGGAACTTACAGTAACTAAGTTTTATACTCAGTAATAGACATCTTCACCTTCATTGTCGGTTGTGCAAATTTCAGAGCATGTGATGTCACTCTTGGGAGTTGATTCTTTCATGTGTAAATATTTTAGTATGTTTGTCATAAAAGAACAATTCTCAAGGGAATGTCAAGTGATCTGAAATGGGCAATTTGCACACGAAGGTAAAGAGGTCTGATGCCAATTGTTTTGTTGCTTTTGAATGGCTTCGAGTAGAAGCCATTTTTCCATGTCTTTCTATTATTACTCCCTTCCCTCCCCTCCCTCAACCTGCCTCCCCTCTCCTAAACCCCCTCCCCCTCACCTTTACCCCC